GCCTTTCTTATATATGGGCGCCGCACTGGCCAATTTCCAATCTGTTGGGACCTCCCCAGTCAGCCAGGACTGCTGGTAAATGATGGGAAGTGGCTTGGCAAGAACACCAAAGTTTTTCTGGGCTACACTCAAAATACACAGGTACTCAAAATACTCAAAATGGAAAAGAAAGTGCTTGTCAGTCCTTTCTGTATCTGCTGGATAAACACTTCTATGAAGAACTGAATGGAGAAAATCCCTGTATCAACAGCTACAGTATAAATACCCTACAGTGATACATTTTAGTTCCTCATCCAAGAAGTGGTGTAGGATTTGGCAGGGAAACAGTGGAGGAACTGATCACCCTACCTATGATTTTAACTTGTCTGTGAATGCCACAAATCTATAGCCCAACAATAATAAGCATTAGACAAAAATAAAACCAGATTGCTTTTTTTTTTTTTTTCTTTAAAGATTGAAAGCACAAACAGGTTACAATTCTTAAAAGCCAAGAGCTGGGTAACCAGGTGATTTATTGGAAAGGCATTCCTCCAGCTGGAAACCTACCTTTACCTTCTGCCTGGAACTAGAAAAAGGGTAACAAAAAGTTATGGGATTTTATTATATTTTGGCAGTACAACCTGGACCTTCCTATCTGAGGACTGAAACAGAAATGAAGCATGGTGCTGGTACCCCAAGATCCAACTACTGTAACCTGAAGGGCTTGTGGTTGCTTGCCACAGAGGGATGCTGCTGCCCACATTGCCCAGGGAGGTTTTGGTAGCTGGTCTATGTCCTGCCCTCTGCCCTGAGGGGCAAAGAGCAACAATTTGTGGCACAAGCATGCTTGGGTGCTCCTGCTGATGTAGAAGAGCTAAGGCCAAGCTGTACGCAATCCCTTGTACACTTCAGGCTAGGCAGTGTTCAGAGATCCAGGTCCTCCTCCATTATTTCAAGTACTCTATTTGCTTCCTTTTCATCTCCCTCCTTTCTCACTTAAATTTTGTCATAAATCCCTTGTCCTCAAGTGTGTATATTCACAGCTGCTGGCAGACTGCTGTTCTCCCTGGGTGGCTCTTCCCTACAAGGATTTGATAATCTCCTACTGCTTAATTGACTCAAGTAATAAGCTGCTGCTGTAGCACATCAGGGCTTGGACCTTATCGAACACACTCACATTTTACCCTGTGGAATCTGCACCCCTCCTTCCCCTTGGGTGCCTGCGGGGGACTCTCTTTCCATCTATTTCTTCTTCCCTGCCTGACACATGGCAGGGGAACAGGTTCCCCAGGTTTGCACTTCACAGAGAAGAGCAGAAAGCCTGTACCAGACGTCCCACCCCACACCTGCTTGCTGGGGCTGAGAAAGCAAAGGGGAAGAGTCTGGGCTGCCACCCCAACTCCCTGACTCAAGGCACAGGCTGTGTAGGGGAAAAAAAAGGGGGTCAGTGCCTCAGTTTCCTCAGGCACTCAGGGAGGGCAAAAAGGAGGAAAGCATATTCCTCTCTTCCAACCACCTGCTGGGCAAGTCTAAGCCTAAGCAGAAATCAGGGTGGTGGCTGTAGCTCAGCTGGGCTGTGGAAATGCACGGAGTAGCAATCCAGGCTGCATCTGGCACCTCTTTTTAGGAACAGGCTCCACCACAAGGCTGACTCAAACACTTCAGTATGTGAAGGCAGGCAAGCCCCTGCATGTCTTTTGCTAAACTAGTAAATGTTAGATTAAGTTCTGGCAGATGACTCAATTTCCCTTTCCTGGTCCTAATCTCTGCAATTAAGACTAGTGATTATTTTGGTTTCTGAAATTTATATATAATGTTAACTAAAGCAGTCTTCTGGGATTTGGGAATGGGAGCACAGTGAGATGGGGATGTACTCAGCAACACGAAAGCCAATAGCAGCAACAGCTCAGGCTGAGGATTGCTTGGTCAGTGCTTGAGGATACCAAGTTGCACATCTGACCAGGAAGTTCAGGGCCTTTTCTGCATCCTTCACTCCCCTCCACCCTTGACTCACACACTGCTCAGCACTCCCCCCACAGCCAAGAATGACCTCCACCCTCCTGTTACATATTGCAATTTAAAAAAACAAAAAAAAAACACCAGAAACTACATAATTACTGGTGTTTTGTGGATGCCAGGAGGTTACCGTCTTCCCCTCCCTACCAAAGTGCAGAGGACAAAGCACCTGTGCCTGGTACTGCCCTGGCTGAGGACGTGCAAAGCTTCCACTTTTTCACCCCACACCTCCAACTACCACCTCTCCAGGCAGAAAAACAGAGGTGCTGGTGATCAAAATGGCAATCAGGGCTTAAGATGGCAAAGCAAATGCCAGGTACAGGCAGGGCCCGCTGCTTAACTGAAATTTTTCTTCTGCAAGCAGGAGAGCGTGCTGGCACCTGCTGCAGAAAAGATACTGCTTTGTCTGATAGCTTTAAAGACTGGGGGGCAGAGGGAGAAGAGGCCAGTTAAGTGTGCTTGTTTGAGAGGAACAAAGGAGAGGAGGAGAGCTTAGAGGTACCTGCACCAGAGATGTGTCAGACATCACTTGTTCCTTCTGGGCCAGAACACCAGCCCAGAATCACTACGGGAGGAAGAAGCAGCATGTGAGGAGCTGTTTTTTCAACCAGGAAGAGGAAATCTAGAGCAGAGAAGAAAAACCCCAAACCTCCCAAGAGACTTAGGATGGTGATAAACGTGACCCAGGTTAGACACCGGGCTACCAAACAGTAGGGTGTACAATACAGTACAAATATACCACAGCAGATAGCACTGCAAGCACGTACCTTGCTGGGTCCTGGTTTCCCTTGGTGGAGGTTGAGTTATGGGGCTCTGGAGTACACAAATTTTAACAAAGTCAAAGAGAAGGAGGCCATCAGCTGCACCCCAGCTCTGCCATCTGTTACAGCAACTGAAACATGGATCCTCCCCTATTTGCTACAGGGCTGGAAGGAACTGCCTTCCCACAGGGTCTCACACAGCCTAGGGGCTGAGTTCTACCCCTTCTGCCTCACCCTGGCAAATGGCAGCTCCCAGCATTTAGAGGACTTTCTGAAAGAGTCACCCACCAGTAACAAAAATCTTAAATGCTTTTTCATTTGCTATTTAATGCTAACAGTGACAGGAACAGCGCCAGCACAAGTGCCTGAGCATACTACTGCAATCAGCTCCTGGCAAGGGAAGAAGTGGCTGTGCTCACCGCCATTGCACAGCACCAGTCCCTGCAGAAGACCTCGTAGGTAGGTCTTCTACGAGCACAGAATGGAGGAAGGTGCCATTAAAGTCACTATCTTCTACTTCCCAGAGGCAGAAGCTCTGTTTTGGCAGGTCCAACCTGTTGTTAAGCCATCTTGTTCTCAGAGAGTAAGACAAATTCAACAAGCTACTTGTTCTTACTAAAAAGCAGCCTGCATCCAAGGACTGGTTTTACTGCACTGGTTGAAGGCAGACTTAATGCACTCGTGTGCAAAACTGAAGGCCAGCAAACCTGTTGCAGGTCATACATACAGCTGACTGAATCAACTACACTATGTCAACACAGATGAGTGCCTGTGTTTGGACAGAGGTGTGCAACAGATCCATGGGTGTGATGTAGATGTGGATTTCCTACCTGTGGTTTCCCACCAAAAAAAACACCCAACAAACAAACAAAAACAACCACCAAACAAAAAGACCCTAACAATCATTCACTAAAGCTTTTTCAGTCTTTTGGGGATGGGAGGGAAGCACATCATATATTAACAGATATTTCTGAGTTCTCAGTAACCTTCCATGGAAGCAGAAGTGGTTCAATAACCATCTTGGCTCTGGTGTTGTCAAAATGCTTCTGCAGATCCACCTGTGTTTCAGCACATAAATCTTAATGCCATGTGCCTTCCCTACCTACCAATTTTTAAAGTTTATTTTTTAAAATGCAGATTAAAAAAAGATAGTGCACAGCTCTATTTGGAGAAAAAAGGCAGACCTGAATTAGAAAAACATTCAGGTTTAAACAAAGAACTGGGAGACATCTTACATTTTTACTCTTACTTCTTTAGGTGGTTAGGAAATCAGCACTCTCCTCCATACAGCATAATATATAACCAGAACTAGTACTAGCTTTGCAACAGGAAACCAAAATTGACAGCACTTCTTGCATCCTTGAATGCTAGTGCATAAACACTGATGATCAGAAGATTTAAGGCATACATATGAAAGAACCTCCATGGTACACATGATTTCTGCTTTTTGTAAAAAACTGAATTTGTCTCTCAATAGAAAAGGTAGGTAAAATTTGAAAGGAAAACTGTGTTTGAGAAATGCTTCTTTATTTTTAAATAGAGTCTGAAATATTGATAGAAACCTCTGCAAGGAACATACACTTCTGCAGAAGATTTGAGACCAACAATTTGTCTTCTAGTCACTGGAGGGTAATTCACGTTTCTATTTTTTTTTTTTTTTTTTAATTCAGTAAATGTTTCTCAGATCTCAGAGATGGCAATCTGAAACAACTCCACTGGAAAAAGAACAGAAAAACAAGAAACTGTGAAGTCAGACCCACAAGGACTCACAGCAATGACCATTACTGCACATGCTGCTTCTGAACCTGCAGCAAATACAATATTTGAACTTAAGAAACCAATAAGCACAAAGTGATTAAGACAGTAAAATGCCATTACGCCTCCTCAGATCAACAGGTTTCAGCCAAGATCCTAAACAAGAGATATTTCACCAAAAGGCACTCGAACTATCAATCACTTCTGCTCAAGTCCCTGACAGGGCTCCACTCTTGTTCTATTTGACTCCAGCCGCCCTCTTGTGTCTGCATACAGTCTTACAAACACTCTTGTCATAACCAAGTTGAGAAAGCAGCACTGCATTGCCTTTCTCCTGAATCCTGAAAAAATTTCTGTCATTTGCATATTTGTTTGCAAGATCCATCAGCTAAACTCAGAAAATGTGCTGAGTTTTGAGCTTGTGCATGTACTTAAGAGTGGACAACAGATATTTTAGTCACAGAATAAACATGACACAGACACACTCTGGTGTCCATCTTCCCATTTTATTTGTTATTCCCAAAATGTCCTGGTAGGGATGGTCAGCTTCCCCTCCAGTCTTGGTTAATGAATGTAAAAGAAACATCAGATGTCACATCGTACTGCGTCTGGCCCTACAATTGGACTCACTTAAACCAAAGCTGCAGGAAACAGTTAGAAATATTATCCAATCCAACTTTTACATGCTTAGGACTTTGAAAAGTGTTGGGATTAACATATCTCTAAATTGTTAAGTCACAACTTCTACCAGGCAAACAGAACCTTTCAAAGCAACATAGTCAGTCCTATTACCATTTCCACAACACTGTGGAACACCTACCCATGCTGAGCCAAGTACACCTGGTACTGTGTTAAATGGGAGAGGGTGAGGAAAGAGGGGAGCGCTGTGTCTCAAGCCTAGCTAGTCCCTCTCAATGCAAGTGGGAGAGCACTCCCAACTCGATTTCTTACCTAACTGCCATAGAGCATGCAACAGTACAGACTATGCATAACAGTATCTGCAAAGAGAGCAACCTTGCCCTGCCCAAGAAGCACCATACCCTGCCTATCAGAAGAAGCAGAAGGGGGAATTAATTATGCCTAGGAGTTGTTAAAAATAGGGGTAACCTCAACTGTTATGTTTCCAGCACAGGGATGTGATCTCTGAGCAACATACAGAGTCCAAGAGGTGTGAAAAGGTGATGGTTCTAGTCAGTTTTGTGTAAGGCTTGGAGATGTCCGTGCATTTCTGCTGCCTTGTCAGTTCCTAACCTTTTATAACAGCAATAGGTCTCAGTTTAATGGCTTTCTTGCTGATACCAGCTGCATGGCAGGTGTTAACCACATCTGTCACATTCTTGTAAGACTCTGGTGCCTGGAAGGGGAAGAGAGAAAAGAAAAAAGAAAGACAAGACAAAACTATAAACAATCCTAAGTCACAGGAAGTTAGATGCAGGTATCTGATATCCTCTCTTCTCTTTGCAAAACCAGAGAATCATATGAATTGAGGATGTAGAAGTAGGTGAACATGTTACATATGCAGGAAATCTATGAGACACTTAGGTTTCTAAATAGGCTCTCACCATATTTCAAATAAAATACTAGCTGTTTTGGCTCACTTTTCCCTATATTTTCAGATAATCCAGTCCACCAGCATGTGAGAATGTCAAGCCTCATTATCTGGCAGGAAGTCAGCCAACTTCCTCCTTATAGATAGCATTTAAGATTTATCTTCACTGCCCCTTAGAAACAGGAATCAGGGTTGAACTCTAGAGCTTCTCCCTCCAGCATTCTGACAAGGAAGCTGCTCTTGAATAGAGATTTTAATGCGATCAACACGTTTGTACAACATCAACACCTGTAATAGCATAGTTCCAAATGATGAACACAGTTCTATTAGTGAGGTAGTAAACAGAAAAGACATTCTATCATGTTAATGCAGAGGAACTGGAAGTCATAATATTCAAAGTTTTATAGTCATTTGGAGTTTTTTCTTGAGCAAATATAGGAATTAAGAGGCAGATCTCTCAAACACTGATAATAATCTACACAACAGCTGCACTGTAAAGTAAATTTAAAGCTGGGAGAACATAACTGAAGAAAAGAATCCATAAAACATAACTACCTCTGTGATGGTCACACAAAGACTTCTCAAGGTTGATCCCTATAACCAGGCAGAAAAGGAAAACACCATAACCCCCAAAACCTGTCAAACAGGCATCTCCCTAAAGACTTTAGGGATAAGGAATACTTCACATTATTTTAAAAAAAAAAAAAAAAAAAAAAAAAGGGATAGCTCTATCACGAATCACACAAGCTGTAGATTTAAAGTACTAGTGATCACATAGCACTGTGAAGAATCAAGTCAGCAGGGGTCATTCAACCAAGGAGCAAGACCTCCTTTTCACTCTCAGATAATGAAGTATTAAACTCACTTCTTCCATGACCAGTTTGGGAGAAGCAACACGGATGGCAATGCCCATGTCAGCCAGCTTGTCCAATACATCCTGGAAGTCCAAGTTACGTCGAGATTTGGCTCGAGACAGTGCACGACCCTAGACAGCAGTTTTGTTAGTTCTATTTTTTGTAGCGTTTTGGAAAAACAGAATTCTTTCTTATTAAACAAAACTACTATTATAAGTAAACACAGAGTGGCTGAGAGCACAGCCATGAAACTGGAAATGAATTTAGACTTTAGGTGGGTTCCTGCAAAATCACACATCTGATACGATGGCTAGGAAGGTTCTATGTGTATAACATACTAGTCTGCAAGTCTCTTTTTACACAAACCACTTGTCAGACAATGCTCAGGAGTTGGCTATTTCTTTTCCTCAATCATTTTGTCTCGCACTATAAATAAAGGGAGGAAATACCACCTTCTAACTACTGAGGAGTTCTATATGGACAGCCTCAGCACAGTTAATCTGTGTTAGCTCAGAAATATCAGAATTTGGCAAAAGGAGCTCATTCTCCCCACCTTCATCCTAACATTTGCTTTGTATAAAAAGCAGCACCTCTTAAATTTTCTGCAGGAGTAGTCAAAACTACTCCATAATGGACAGAGAGGACTTCTAGCCTACAGTCTTCCTGGGCTAGGATTACTGTGGCAAGGCTACCCTCTACTTGTATGACCAACAAAGGAATCACACAGTGGATGACCCTTTAACATCCTTGTTCTCTGGATCACAGTCCTATTCCAATCCCTTCCTGAAATAACTTTTTGACTTACAGCTCCATGGCAAGTAGTTCCGAAGGTCTCAGTCATGCCTTGCTCTGTGCCAGTAAGAACGTAACTACAGGTGCCCATAGTCCCACCGATCAAAACAGGCTGTCCAGTCAGCTGTGGATGCAAACAAGTATTAATTCACCAAGAAAAAGCCTAAAAAATTAATTCTTAATAAAAGTCTGAGAGGAACCACATCTCCAGAAAAGGAGGTCAGGTTCACATTCTTTCAAAGCATCCCTGCTTGCCTCAGGTGCCTGGTATCAGGGACTCTGGGGAACTGACTGCATGGAAAGACGTAGACCAGCAGATCAAAACATTTGTGTCCAACAGACAGACAAGGCAAATCACTGAAGCCTGCCCTAGGTACAACACACTTCCCTTCATGATTGTCCTGGTTTTGGCCAGGATAGAGTTAACTTTCCTTGGGCTGAGAGGGAGCACAGCTAGAGGGCTGGCCAGATCAGTCACTGCAGTATTCCATATTATGTGACATCATGCTCAGTATATAAAGGAGGCATGTGCTCTCTTTTTTTCCACTTCAGTTTTTCTGCTTCTGGTCCATGGTGGGATCTTTGCTGCAGTCAGGATTGCTGCTGGGGACAGGCTGCATACTGGTCACCAGGTAGGGAGCAACTGCATTGCATATTACCCATTTGGACTTCTTACTGCTACTGTTGTTTTGTTACTAAACGGGTTTGTTTTGTTTTTTTTTTCATTCAACCTATGAATTCTCCTTTTTTTTCCTCCCTCCCCTATTTCACTGGGGAGGGGGAGGAAAAGTAAGCGACTGGCTCTGTGCTGACTGCCTACCAGCGAGTTCAAACCACTTTCAACCACTGTGGGTGTGAAACAGAAGAGGAAGCTAAGTGTCCCAAAGATCTAACACACAGACAAGCAGAATGTTGCCATCCCACTGAGGTTCCAGTGCTGTTAGCTCAAAAAACTCACAATGTTTGTATCTCTGTTAGGGACCCTAAAACTCTCCAATTCATCTAGAATTCTGATTTCCTTCTCCAACAGATAAACTTACTTGATAATCAACAGCAATAAGAGGATGGTGAGGAGGAAAGGCCCTGGTTGATCCCTTTCTGTGCACCAGCAGAGTCCTCTCCTTTCCATCCACTACATGTTGCTCCACTTTGGCAATGTTGTGAGACACATCATAGATAACATGCATATCAAGGTCATCTGGGGTTGTGTTGAAGACTTTGGCAAAGGCCTAAAAAGAACGCAAACTAAGACTTTAAATACAAAAAGGTATCTGGTGTGTATTTGTGGAAGATTTACAGTCTTTAGGAATCAAAAGCAACAAATTTTGTTGAAAATATTTCTTACTGAAACATTTGATATGGCAGTTAAGAAATTTCAGTCAAATTCAGCCACAACAGAACTGAATACAATAGTGATGTGACAGAACTGGACCATCTAGATTGTTTATCTGCCCACTGGCAGCTTTAATGCTGGAATTCAATCAGATATCAACCAGACAAATTCTTGTAACTCTGGAAAGATAGCTTCAGGAGTGTAAAAACAACTTTCTTGTACCCTCTTCCAGTTCAAGGCATTTTCAGAAATATTGCCTAAGTGGCTTCTGCAAGTACAATCCAGTGATGTTGGGAGGTTTTATGGATTGCCATGACTGCAGCTTTGTGTAAGTCTCTCCAGAAAACACAGTTAAAGAAGCACAAAAATGAAAATTACTTTAAATACTGCAGCTACTACATTTTCTGTACATCTGGGATAAAGCACAAGATCTGTACCACAACGTTTGCATCAGAGACAACACTGCTCCCACCTGTCTTGTTAGAAAAGTCATAGAAGAGCGGTTGACCCATGCATAATTTCCAGCAGCTGCCATTCCCTTCAAATAATCCTGTCCCTCTGTGGAGGCAATCCTGGCACATGCCAGCTGGCGATCATTCACTATGATTTTGTCCCGTTTCATAGCTTTTTCCATAGCCACCAATGCATCTGGAAAATGAACACAGTAAGTCTAAGTGACTTAATTTTGTTTCAGTGTGTGAGATTTACATGGCAGTCTATAATTTATATTCTAAAACTGAACACATCTGTCTGATGGTCAAACCTATGGCTTCTTCTCAAATGCAAAAGTGGATCTGTGGCAGAACACCATCAATTGTTTCCGAACAGCATTCCCCAATTCTGTTTTTAGAAGGAAAAGTTAAGAGGCCCAGGTGTACCAGAAAAAATTCTCCACTTAGACAAAAGCAGTTCAATCTGGTGATAATTCTAAGAATGTGAGCATTTCACTTGGGTTCAAAACAATACAGATCTAACACTTTTTTGTGTTTTGTGACCCAATAATTTAGTTTTTTGTTTGTTTTTTTTTTTTTTTCCTGCAAGAATGCCTGCCTCTGTTACCCCAGAGATTATGAATTTACTGTCCTAAGCAGAGTCATATAAAGACAGCCCCTCAACCAGACAAGAGCATTTGTGAAAATCTCAGGATTTCTGGAAGCTGTGTAGTCCTATCACTTGCTCAAAGCAGCTCCAGCTAGATCAGGTTGCTCAGGGTCTTATTCAGTCAAGTTTTGAGTATTTCCAAAAATCTCTCTGAGAAACCTGTTCCAGCATTTGACCACTTCAGTGGTTAAAAAAATTAATGAAAACTCTAGTATCTTTATATGTAAATATAAATCTATAATTACCCATGCTCCAGCATGAGTCTGCCAACTCTTATCCTATCAGCATGTGGACTCATAATAGCAAGATCAATACTCTACACAACCAAAGACAATTAACACACTGGCTTTAAAGCATTGTTTTAGCATTGTTAAGAAGCTTGAAAACACATGCAAGATCAGGCGAACAAAATTCAAGGCAATCCCTGTCAAGGCAAATCAGAATAGATTCAGCAATTACACTGTAAGAAATGCTATTTGGTGCTACAGTTTATTGTTGATGACAAGACTGTACTGAAGAGTTTGCTTCACTCCAGGTACCTATACCAGTCAGTTCATACCTGTGGCAACTTGGTGGCCCAGACCTCTGCTGCCACTGTGGATCATCACGCACACCTGCCCTTTGTGGTCGATTCCCATCTTCCTGGCAGCGTATTCATTGTAAATGTCATCCACCACCTGGATCTCAGCATAATGATTTCCTGCTCCCAGGGTCCCCAGCTGCCAACCACAACACACTGATCAGACAGTGCTAATAAAGGAGCCTCTGGGAGCACAGGGGAGAGCTACAGGAATTTGGGCAATAGGGCAAATTGCTACAGCAAGGTTTCGGTTTTAGAAAAGTTTTTCCAGGAAAAAAAAGGAATCCCCATATAGGCTGAAAGGAAGTAGAACACAGTAGCAAGATCACTGTCCTCTTTGTTGGGATTTATACTTTTGCTGCTGGAACAAGACTGTGATTAAACAAAAGAACCGGGATCTACAGACTGTGCTGCCACTTTTTTCCAACTTAGGCCTTGTTGAAAGATGGGAAAAAGTACAGAGCATTGAGAATTCATCTTAAATTTGTATAGGCAAGGCAGACATACAGTCTTATATTTGGTTATAAGTTCACAAGGAAGTTACAACATCCTGTTAGTTTGGTACTTAAAACCTTTCAGTAGATTAAAGCAAGATATTCCATTTCCAAGCCCAAACTTTTTCAACTCCGTAACAGATGATCACTTATTTGCAAGGCAAATGTGAAAATGGAGGATATAAGATTATTTCAAGGTTAAAATACTATTATCTTGCAGCACTACAATTCATAAAACTCAAGAAGTCATTTAACAGAACAGCATTAGTATAGCCATCTCAAAAGTGTTCTACCCGGAGCATAACATACTACATATAGAAATTAAATCCAACACCTGAATTGCAATTCAAAGTTACCAACTAGTTCCATTTATTATGATATCTTTCCTTGCCCTTATATTAACTTGCTAAGCAAACAAGAAGAAAAGCTGCAGAATAACTTGCCTGTCTCTTAAAAAATAAAATATGTCTGGATGGCGAAATGCCACCAAACATGAATTCCAGTAGCAGGTGTAAACCAATGAAAAACTGATGGCCCCAGGGACCTTGGGCTGCTATCTTTTCCCTCTCTTACCATTCTGTCAAGAATTATTCAGAAACAGCCCCACCATCTCGCCTTTCCCCCTACCCAGGGATGCTAGGCAGTTCAAAGAAAAGACACAAAATTAGAGAACTAACCACTAACCTTTACATTTGAACCATGGGAGCATTCACAGCCCTCCTAAAACTTAACATTACCTGAGGCAGGCCCCTCTTCTTTGCTCTTGAGGAGACCTTGTTGGGGTCAGCCTGCAGCATTCTTCCATATTCCTCACAGTGCTCCTTGTCCTCTGCCCAGGCATAGCCTTCCCGGAGAGACCAGTCCACACCCATTTCCAGTGCCTCTTCCAAATCCCTGCAATTATCAAACACCTACATAAGGTGTTTATCCTTGGGAATATTCATAACTCCACTAGATACAGCTCTGAGCACCCTTATATAACTTTATTGTTAGACTCACCTTCAGAGTTAGCCCTCCTTCGTGCAAGGAGTTGGATGAGATGGCCTCAAGAGATCACATCCAACCTAAATTATTCTGTGATTTTATGATCGATACCTAATTCCCATAACAACAATTTAAGCTTCTTAATACTTCATGAAAATCAAGATCTACAAATACATGAACTTTAGACAGGTCATTACTTTTTTCCTCTTAATTTTGTGGGGAATATCCTATTTTCTCTGTCATCCCTTTCAAAAAATACTTTTACATTCATGGAGGTTTTCTGTCAGAAGAAACAGCTGACTTTGTGCACTGATGATTATGCCAGTCTTCCTGGTGAAGCACATATATAAAAAGAATGTAAAGACGATTAGAATTACTTCTTCTTTCTTAAAGCCTCCCACTGATAAATCTTTCATATAAATAAACACCAGAGATGTCCTGTCTAGTGATATGCACACACAGTCATTCTCTTACTTGGCATTCATGGGGATTACACCTTTGGAGCCGACGCCAACAGGAATGTGGTCAAACATAGCCTGGGCAAGCTGTTCCTTCACAGGCTGCACATCATTTTCATCCAAATTTGTACGCAGTAAGCGGACACCACAGTTGATGTCAAATCCAACACCACCTGGAAGTGTAGAAAAAGCCATGGAGTTAATAAAGTAAGCGTGCTGATGGTGAGAACTTGCTGCATATTCACCTTAAATCAGCGTCCCTGTTGACAGGGAGTATGTACTGAATGCTGTGACCTTACTCCTTTCTGACAGAATACTGGGAAAAAAGCAGAACTGCATTAAACTTCATTTAAACAGTTACATGAAACCTCAGATTACAAGGCAGTCAAAAATGTGACCTTGCAGAGAAAAATTTGAAAACTCTTTAAAAAAAACCCAAATAGTTTCTCAGTCTCCATTATGTGCTCTGCAGACATAGCTGTCCAATTGCCTATAGAGCTCTGTGTTTACAAAGTTGCTCCAGCAAGTGGACAAAGAGAAGCAGACACAACTATAAAATAAACTGTCCACAGAAAATAGAGAGGATGTTCCTGTTCTTCTGTCTAAGGTCAGAAGAAACAGATCTTAGCATGGCTCCCTGATGCAGGATGTTCTCGAAAGCAAGTCCCTGAAAGCAAGTCCTTTTTGAATGTTCACTGGAATAAATAATAACTATTTATAAGAAGTAAATACTTAAAAGGAATATTAAACTTCAGTGCTTAGTGTTTTGCTTAACTCTTACTATTTAATAAAAATAAATACTGCAGGGCAAGGCCTAACGTGAAAATCAATCATACTATTTTTTGTATGAAGGTTCTGACATTAACTAGTGTTGGCAGGGAATACCAGACTAAGAGATCTTGCGTTTGAGTCAGAGTAAGGAACACTGGAACTGCATAAAGCAATCCTGAAACGTGAGTATGATGTTTCATGACAACCACAAAAGCATCTCCAGACCATCAGTAAGTAAAGACCCATCAGTAAAGACAGACGTATTTTAAGGTCACATCTTTAATGAAGTGTAGAAAGTCTCAAAAGACGTATTCAAACACTGCTCAAAGAAAACAGTCAATTCTTTATCAACCTGGTGAAACCCAAGTTCAAAGTCTTGTGTTCTCCCTTCAAAACTGAGGGATATCATAAGTTCAAGCCAAAAAACATAAGGGCAATTATCTCTGTACTGTTTAGATGTTTTCAGTGTAACCACCTGCTCCATAAAGAATAAAGATTATGAGTACAAGAATTAAGCACCTTTTAATTCCCTATAATTCATAAATTTTTTGCTTTGGTTCTGCATATAAAGTACTGTAAAGACCTGACATTTCAAAAAGCATTTTTATGACATCCCAGATATTTTTCAGTGCAGGTTAAGTCAGTCATCCTTACCTGGTGAAACTACTGCTTCAGAATCACTCATGTCAAAGGCAGCCATGTTGCCAATGGCAAACCCATAACCAGAATGGACATCTGGAAGGCCTATTGATCTCTGAAAGAGAATGAAGGAAATTTTAAAGTTTTATTAAACTTTGTGCTACACAGTCACCTCGGTTATGCTTTGCCTTGTGGCAGTGGTTGCCACATGTGCAAAAAAATAGACCAAAACCAGAATGGATGATCAGATGTAGATGGAGTAAACACATCAATTCAGCTAAGTATCAGAACTCCTGCAGTTACAGGGGGAAAAAAAAAAAAAAAAAAAAAAAAAAACTGAAGCAAATACCCAGTGGTTAGTCACCTGAGAACTTCCTTTGGCTCCACTGACCAGATCTCAACAAAACTTAAGAGAAACCGAAACACATAAATATAGGAACTGTGATCTCAAACTGAATTCCAATCTAATTTTTTCTTGGACTCGAGTCCTTGTATTCAAAACTTATGCAGGCAACAGCTTATGAGTAGCATAAAGCAGAGACATAAGAGTGAAGATGAGTTTGTCTTTACCAAGTTCCATCTAGAGACATCTACAATATTTAAATACTGTAAATGTAACAAAGGAAGAGTTCAGTGCTATGGAATGGAAACATAAAACAGTCAGCATTTTCTCTTCTTAGCTATGTCATTGAACACTGACCAAAGACTGCACTCTGTGGGCAGGGAAAAGTCATCCTTTTAGGATAATATCCTGACAGGACAGGAGCTGTGTTATTTTAATTTATAAAAGAATTATTTTTCTTTAACCTTTTCATATTACTACTAATTAAATAAGTAAGAGCATGCTTCTACACAGCTCCACAAATCCAAAGAATATCTAACCTGGCAAGTTTAGATTAGGACTCCACAATCTATTTAAGCAAATAAACAAACAAAAAAACCCAAACACCCAGAAAAACTCAGAAACTGGAACTTTTCAATGTGTGTTAAACTGTTATCATGCATTAAAAGGAACAGTATTTTTTAGGGGGCCTCTCCTTGTCATAACCAAGACATCTCCTGGTTTGGAAGTAAAAAGTTAGGGTTTGAACAGACAGATGATCATAACATTTCTCCTATGAACTACCAGCCAAAATTCCCAGGTTGCTATTACTCTATTTCACCCTCTTTTTGACTGACCACAAAGGCATTTTACAGTGTGATGGGCTGCCTTTTACTACAGACAGAAATTCAAAACTTTTGCCAAGTCACCAAGAGAAACAATTAAAAATTTTCTGTTATTTGTTGCTTATTAATATACGTAATATTGAACATGAAAAAGATCATTTCCACATTGTACTTATCACTTCTTAAAAAGTAACTCAATCTTAGTATTTTCCCCACATCATCGTATCTGATGCGTCTCTTCCAAAAATGCATGGGGTGACAGAAAAGAGTGTTGAATGCATGGGGAGGTTCACTATCAACATTAGGGCCGCAACAATAATGCAGACAATATTGCCTCTCCTCACTTCTCCATGCATTATAGGTCAGTAGAGGCAACTCAAAAATAACAAACGGACAATGAGCAAAGGGGGAAAGGTGGCTCAAGAAAACTGAAACAGCATAATGCAACACTAAAAAAACTTCAGGTCAAAAGGCAGTCAACGAAGTAAGTGGATACTTCCCTTTCTGAAAACTTAGTTTTACAGCCTGCTCTTGCAAGCACTCCTTACTCAAAGGTTCCTACATAGAGGCTGTCCTGAAAAGAATTTTGGTGCATACCCCTTCTCACAGCAGAGTTCCCAGTTGGAAGGCAATATTCACTGGCAAAGAGGAAGAGAAAAAGAGCAATTCCTCATAGGAGTTACTCACATGAACAATGCCAGGTAATGCTGCCACATTCCCAATCTGTTTCATAGCAGGCAAAAAGCCACCTGCACCTGAAATAAAAAAAAAGGAGAAAAAAAAGGTAAATAATCTGATAATTCACCACAGTAATAACAACGAAGCACTTTCTAAAGAGCTTGCTCAAAACATTAGCAAATCAGAAGTCAGCCACCAACAAATATTCTAATCTGGTAAGAAGCACCTAGCATTATGCACAAACTACAGTTTCATTAAATTTTATTCTAAAATCTTCTGCTGTCTTAGGGCCAATGCAGACCAATGTGTGCCAACAGCAGAAGTGTGTTACCATCAGCCCAGCGGTCAGATCTGGATCCAGCCCTGTGCTCTGGCCCTACACAGTACAAACAGGTCTGAGCTATAGCCCCCACCAAAGTTAGCTCTGAGAGCAGGGAATGCTCCAGAGCACAGAGAGCAGCCAGAAAGGCTGTGCCCACCCATCTGACAGGACGTGCTACGGCTGCAGGTTACAGCCCTGTGCTGCTTGCCAGGACGAAGTGGCTGGCAAGGAGAGAAAAGTCATTCCCCTTTGCTGCCTCTCCAGACCCGCCAGGCAGGACACACACCAAGCCTGCGTCCACTGCCTCTGCTATACCTTGATCCCTTCAGGGCTCACAGACAGTGTGGCTTGAACCCAGTCAGTCAGGAAGGCCTTTTGAGGCTACTGCAAGGAGCGTGTGAGGACACCCGCCGGGGTCAGAGGGCCCTCACCCCGCTCCCCCCTGCAGGACGCACCTCCGCCGCGGCAAGCGTTGCGCAGCTCCTCGAACATCAGCTTCTCCAGGGGGTCGTTCACGTAGAACACGCCCTCCACCTAGGGGGAGAGCTGTCAGGGCAGCTGGCACTGCGCCAGGCCGGGCCGTTCCCCCCTTCCCCCGCGTGGGCCGCCCCTCACCCCTCGGGCACCTAAGTGCTCCTGGTTGAGCCCAGCCCCCACCACCCCCACGCACGTGCATGTTCGGCACGAAGCCCTTCTTGATCCGCCAGCAGTTCTTGTCGATCTTATCCAGGTACTGCAGCTCATCGTTGTAGCTGCGGCTCATGGCGGCGACGACACTCCTAGTCCGCAACTTGGCGTTAGCGCAGCCGCCAACGTCTGGCCAAAGGCGAGAACCGACGGCGGCCGCTGAGGGTCATACTGCCTCCGCCGCGGCAGGCAGCGTACAGGAGCCGCCGACGGTCAAACTTTCCCCGCGGCGGCTTCTGGCGCCCCCTGGCGTCCCGCTGCGGGTCGGCCGCTACCTGGGAGAGGCGCTGCCGCCACCAGCCGGCTCCGCGCGCCCTGGCAGGGGCGTCCTCAGGGGATGCCGCTTGCTGCTTTCGCCTCCGTGGCGGGTCGAAGACCCTCTCAGGCCAGCCGGCTTGCTTACGCCCTGTCACTCCCTCACTCCTGCCTCAGGCCGGGCGGGGTATGACGTCATGAGGCCTGGAGATGCTTCAGCACGGCAGGGATGCGTGCTCGAGCCCCCCAGCGGACCCCCGGTTAAGTCCCATGACAGGACCGTCTCCCACAGTAGTGGAGTGGCTGGGACAGCCCAGGCGAGGCACCCGGTACCCGTGGGGGTGACGGCATAAAGGGGAATGTAGGCCCTGCTGGAGAAGGAGCTCAGGTTTCTGCCTGGCCACCTTCTCCCTCACACTGCATACAACTCCTGGTGCAGCTTTGCAGGAGGAACAAGTGGTTCTTCATGTGCCTGTTGCTAATGAAAGCTCTGTGTCTGTGTGCTGTCCCCCTGGGGCAGGGCCGTTTAGGGCCAGTGGGGTATTTAGGTACCACTCAGCTGCAGGCAGACGGGTGGAAGTTGCTCAGCTAGTCAGGCAAAAGCTACCTGCATGGCATCATCAATTGTGCTTCCTCATCATGAGGAAAACAGCTTTTTACTGTATAGTCTTGGCTTGAAGAGGGCTCAACTGTTCCCTCAGCATAAAGAAAATAGGTTTTTCCTGTACAGCTTTGGCTTGAAAAGGGCTCCTATTGAGGAGTGAGAGGCATGGGGATGGCTAGGGTCTGGGCACCACACCAAGTTATTGGGACTTTGTACTGGCATAGTTTGGGGCTCACAAAAGCAACAGAACATGGCAGGACAAGGCATCCCAGCCTTTGTTTCTCCTCCATTGGTGTTAGTTTGGAAGGCCTAAGCCTGCTTCCTGTTCAGGCTAAAGAGCAAGTACATAATCATTGCAGGGCAGGTATATCCCTCTGCAGAACTGTGTTCAGATTTGCACACTAATAAAGTACTGAAAAAGAAGGGGGAGAAAGAGGGTAAGACAACATACCAAAAATGAAGCAAGAATTAAAGTATCTATTTCAATCCAGAGAAACATGGACAAAGATGTTGGAGGATTAGACTTGAATGGCTCTGTGTAAGACTGACAAGGAATTAAATGTATCTAGCCAAGTTAAGCAATGATAAACAGGGGACATGAGAGATACAAGGATTTGGAGAGTCACGGGACAACAGATTGCCAAAGGCAGTACTAGTGTCACTTTGTCTCCTAAATGTCTTCTGCATCTTAATAAAGATTTAGGTTAAGAGTTTAGTTAAGACACTGCTAAGATTTTAGTTCCTATTGTAACTGGGGCCATTCCCAGTCTGAAGTGGTTCTGGAGGGTTCTCACTCCATACTTAGTGCATCATCTTCAGAAAGAAGTTATTTAAGATCATTACAGGAGAAACAGAAGAGTAGGCATGTCTGCTTTAGCAGCATTTTGACAATGTACTTTGACTGCAGCACTTTTCTGGAAGTGTATAGACAAGGCTGTATTTCAAAAGAGGCATTAATCTTAAAAACATTTTTGCATCAGTTAAACTCCAGAATAAATAATGCCAAGCATGTGTCAAGTTCTTCTTTGGGTCTGCTTGTTACCACCATTGTACAGCCTAAGCATTCTGTCAGTTTTCTTCACCTCCCTGTACCACTCCTCATCCCCAACCAGGATGATATTGCCCTTGTCAGAGCCCAAGTTACACATTTCAGCAGAACTGGACAGTGTTTAGCCTTCAAAGTCACATTATTGATTTGAAGTTCATGCTTAACAAATGGTCTCTCTTCTTTAGTGTTTGTAGTGGACGTCAATAGAAATCAACATGTACCCCTGTGGGGAGAACAACAGTCACTTGAACTGCTGTAAATTACAAAATGAAGGTGTTATTTTGGTTGGTTTTGGTGTGGGGTTGTTTGGGTTTTTTTTATAAATTTTAGCTTGATTCTGGTGTTAAAGGTCAGAAAAATCTACTGAAAACAACGGAGCCTTGGAAGTAACAAGTTTGAACTTTGCAAAAGAGCCCCATCTTTCCCTGCATGCTATCCCTTTGCACTGTGCTAGCAACAGAAGGGACACCTAAAGATCATACAGCCTACACAGAAAGGTTCACCTGAGCCTTAAGGCAACTAGACAATCCTCATGAGATGGGATTATTTCTTACATAATTTGAGGCACTTAAGAATTACCCATCTAAACTTTCTTAAGGCTTCCACCATTGTCAGTGCATGCAGAGCAAGGAACCTGCAGAGAGCAGCCCACCAGTCTAATATGGTTATTTATGAAAAAGTGGGAAGAATTGTCTTTCTTCCTATTGACCATAGCCAGTAGGCTGAGACTGAAAGTGGAGACTATAAAGCTCGCTTTTAAATAGGAAACCCATTAACGTTGATAGGATATAGCAATTTTCCTGCCTACTCTCCTTCATATTTACTGATGAGGAGACTGATTAGAGAAAGTGAGTTGGGGAATGAGCCCTACAAAACCACTAAAAATCCTTTATTCATAATTAGTCTATAAGGCTGTTGGCAACTAGTGCCACTGAAAGCAGTCTCCAAGGAATTATGTTTTGCTGTCAGGTATGTAGAATACAAAGAAGGATTAAAAAAAAAAAACACCTTTGTGTTTCTTTTAGTTGTGCTTTGTGCTTAACCACAAACATGGATTTGAGACTGTTTCTGCAAAGCTGAAAAACCACTGAGAAGTTGGTAAACAAGTGGGGAAATATAACTGGTTTACCCACTGTCTGGGAGTTCATTTGTCAGCAATGCCCTTGTCCTGATTCACTGTCTAACAACGTTCTGTATGTTCAAACTAAGGGCTAGAGCATGTTGCAAGAGGCACAGAATATAGTGTGATTTGGAGAAGAATAACCAGAAGGCAAAGAATATTTTCTGAGACCTCACTAACTATTTTTGACTAATAGCCTCAGCCATTTATCAACCAATTATTAACAAAATCCAGTCATCCTAGGTGTACAAAACTGAATTCACCTCCCTCTCATATTTCAACTATTAATGTTAAATTCAGCAGAACTGCATGGATAACTCCATGGATAATTTTATTTGATTGGCCAAACTTGAATGAAATGTTAAAGGTAAACCTGTTTTCACACTCAATTGCAACTTGAAAGGCTGAGCATGCTGTGTATTTTATCATGGTTACGTATTTCATGCAGTTCTAGCTTTTCCTCTCAAAGAAAGATAAATTTGTTTCTAACAGGATTTTACCATTATTAGAGATCTCATTTTAACCCCAGAGCTTTTTTCCTACTTAACTAGCTCAAATCCAGCAAATTTCTTGTACATACAAAAAGTGAATAAATACCTAGCCAAAAAAAACCAACCACAACACCAAAACAAAAACAAAACAAAAAACAACAAAAAAAATACTCAAACCAAAAACAAAACACAAACCAAAAAAGAGAGGAATAACCTTTTCATGAGACTGTCAAAATCTCACCTGTACAATTGTAATGTGAGGCTTTGTCAAGGTAACATTAGCCAGATTGAGCAGAGGGAATCCTTTTGACATTTTAGGTTAACAAAAAAAAAAAAGAGACAAACAGTGATTAAGTTGCACATTGGAAAGATAATAAATATTTGCCCTTCAACAATCCAGAGATTTTTAGGTCATTTACAACAATTAACCTCTTAGTCTTCTCAAGCAACCCTGGGAGGTAGGTACAATGTTCATATACCAATTGCAGAAAAGAATTACAGATTCTTTTCTCTTGGCATAGTGTCACAGCCAAACCAAGACATTTCATAGTCAGTGATTTGTCCCTAGTGACCTGAGGGATTGTTAATACAGATCTATCATCATTAAGTACCTGTTCCCATTTGTCTCCATATTAATGAAGGTGAAGTTCATCCTAGTAAAGAGGACTAGCACAAAGCTATGTCTCCCTCCAGGACCTTAAATAAGATTATGAGAGGCAAGAGCCCTGTGCTGCTCTAACAAAAAGGAACACATTTCATACACAGCAGCCTCAGGCAGGTGTGCAGACTAGACAGGCCTTTCACTGATGCATCAGGGCCACCTTGAGTGAGGCAAAGGCAGATGAATTAAGAGTTTCCAAGCCCCTTTTGTAGAACAGTGCCAGTGAGAGGGCATAGTTACACCCCTACAAATCAATCTCCTACTGCTTACTGGATGATGGTCTTTTCCACTCAAGTTAATGGAAACTGGAAAAACTTAAGCAGAAATTCACTATAAGTTCCTAGAATCATTCACTCTGCTAGATGCTTGTAGTTTTTAGCTTAGAAATACAGCCTTACTATTAGCCAATGGGATGACTTCAGTCTGTAAAATGTAAGACAAAACGTTCTCCAGAAGCGAGATCTGTCACAGACAAGAAAACTGAGTTAGCCATCACTTCCTGACAGTGGTGGAACTGTCATGCCCTAATCCTGGATGGAGTTAGTAGGCTCATGTTCAACTTTCAGCTCTCATTTAGCCCAAAATAAGCTAAAAAGTGACCTTTGGATCTTAAGTCTTTGGAATGATGCAAAGGAAGTGGGATACAAAAAGTGGGATGCAAACGGCTCTGATCATTCTTGGACATTTTCATTTAAATTACTCTGTTTCCTTTATTTGCGAGATAATTTATCACCAATAGCAAAGCAGGACCAGAACAGTTTTAATTCTTTCTCCTCAGCTACTCGGAACTGATTGATTACACTCAGAATTAAATGACTCTCTGCAGAGGCAGGGTTGTCCCCTGTAAGCCTACAACTGCACTATTTCAGGCACCTGAGACCAGTATTTTGGCTCCTATTCTGTTGGGATTCAAGAGGACTTTCTGTGAGAGAATGGACATGTGAGCAATCCTCCGTGAGAACAAGACTGATAAGAGCCTCAGCTGAGCAAGAATGCGATAAGGATGTGACCCTGAATGAGGGGGGAGAAACTTGATGAGACAAACAACCCCCGGAAGAGGTTGGGATAGAAAAGGAAGTTACACAAGGCAGGAAGCCTGGTGAGGCTGATGTGGCACTTTTTATCCAATCACAAGAAGGTTTAAAGCACGGGCTAAGTGACCTGTCCAATCTTGAGGACTTGTACTGCATGTTACTCATGTGTGCAGGAGAACATTATAAAAGGGCTTTCTTAGTTGTAATAAATGGGCATTGCTTGATCACATTGGTCGTGTGCATGCTCAGCTCTCCTGCATTAAGGGACTAAGTATACTTAAAGCTGGTTCCCAATAATATATGCCAAAATACTTCCTGGGGATGAAAATTATTAATATCATTATAGTTTGGGCCACAATCTATAGGTTTTGGGATTTACTGAACCTCCTGGAGATAGGCTAGTCAAGCCTGCCAGCCTCTAAGCCACAGCTATTGTACTTAGACAAATGCTTTGCTTCTATATCCCCTGTAGTACTTTCAGTCAGTAAAAACCCCTCAGAAAACAGCCACTGAGGCTCTAAATTACCCAGAGTAGATCCTTTGTTCATGTCAGAAAAGTATATGTCTGAGGTCTACAGAAACCTCCTTTTTTGTAGCAAAGTTGCCAGTATTTAGTACCCCTGGCTGTGGCCCGAGGCATCCATATAAAGCATAAATAAAAGAACATAACAAAACCCTAGTATTTATGACCTACTGTCTCAGGACTTTGCCGGCCAATTAGCAGCTTTATACAGTCACATTCTGACAACTGGTGGTCAAATCCCCAATCTTGAATGGCCTGAACCACTCTGACCCCATTCCTCTGTCTTCTACTCACCTCTTCTGCAATGGTGAAGGCCCCTGCAGCGTAGTAAGCAAATGAGGGGTCGGAAAGAAATACTCAGAGAAGGCAGGGTAGAGCATGGAGTTGCTTTGGTTTGGGATAGTGAAGGGAGCTGCCACATAGGGAAGGCCAGTATACTTTCCAACTGGATAGACTATCACCTGAAGGTTATTGTCAGAGATAAAAATCAGACTCAAAATATGACTTTAATGTGATGGCAGACAATTAATGCTACTTTCCTTTTCCTCACTTAAGCTATTAATTTGGTTTACGGATACATAGGTTTTGTAGACCTGTAGACTGAAGACTTGGTGCTTTCAAATAGGTAGTGAACACAAGTTCCAGAGACCAGACACCATCACAGAAAACACCTGAGATCTGTCTTCTGAGACACTCATCACCTACTGAAGACAGTCTACCACCTCAGAAAACAAAGCCTCTAAATTAAAGATCTACATATGGCATAAAGAGCATGACTAAGGGTCCTCCTTATTGAAGAGACTTACTTTCTTTCCCCATCTCCAGGAATTTAAATCTGAGAACTGCTGCCTAGAGCCATCCAATTACAAAACTGATCTCTAAATGCAAATGTCTTTCTAGGTCAAGATCAGCACCTTATTCTACCCAGAAGCAAATTGGTAACTTGTGCAGACAAAATAATGCCTGTGAGGGAAAGGAAAGTTATATCAGACAATCCTAAAACCACCTATGCTGTCTTTTGCACAACCCACAATATTAGCCAAGATTTACAGATCAAATACTCCCAAATGCCTCCAGATTAAACAAAAAGGTAAAACTGATATAAAGTGATGAAGCTACTCAGAGGTTAAGATTTTTTCATATCCCTTTTATTAGTTCCCCCTTTCTGTTTGATTTCAAGTGTATCCTGAGTGTCTTTATTTTCTCAAGTCCTCCCCATCTATCTCTGATTTTATGTTGCCTTTTAAGGACTTTCAAAACACTTCCAAAATGCTGAGTCACTTTACCCATGACCTCCCCATTCAACCCTCACTTGCCGGCTTTAACAGTCACTTGCTTTGTATTTTCCCCCATGTTCCATCTTATGTGTCAGAGTAGCTCTTGTAAACAGCCATGACATTACCTCTTTGATCTACCTCAAGTCCTTGCTTAAAATCTAGTTGCTACACTACCCAGAAGAGCTTGACAGCAGCTGCAGAGCTGGTATGATGAGACCAATGTCTGCCTTACGGATGGATAACAGCTTTTTGTTCCTTTGTGTTTCCACCTGTTATTTCCCTGTTGCCTCTTGTTAATACTTGTTAATTTATAAGATCTTTGTGACAAGACTGTCTTTTCATTCACCCTTTGTAGAGCACCTAGCACAAGCCATCTTAATTAAGGATCTTAGATACTATGATGATAACTATGCTCAACCAAATCACCTTACACAGAATGACAATCAAGTCATTCTAGAATTAGGAACTGGTCTGATTTTAGTTTCAATATATTAGGAGATTTTTTTTTTCTTTTATTTGAAACTTTCAGGCCTTCAAACTCAGCAGTACTCCTTGGGCTCCCATGCTTTTTCAGGGGTCTTCTGTCTTCCCATTCAAGGTGCCAGAGGCTTAATTCTTGCTCCTGTAGTCTTGCTCTTTCTTTTCCTCTCTCATCTAACAGCAGACGCATCTAGTTATTGCAATGTATAGAAAACTTCCCCTGACTGAAGACGTCTCAGATATTAATAGCGAGAGAAGGATGAAGTTGAATATTTTTTTCTCTCTCCTTTTCCTTTCTCTTTTTTCTTCTAAATTGCTTAGCCAACTTCCACTGCTCTATTTGCTATAACCAACTCAACAACAATTAAAAAAAAAAGGATGTCTTTTAAATCATTAATTTTACAAGATTGTTAAAAATTATTACAATAACAAATACAATAGTGCTTTGAAATGTCTGTCTTCTCAGATACTGAGTCTTAATGTTCAGAACAGCAATCATGTTCATCCTAGAAAGTGGATCATACAATAATAAAATCCACAGCAATCTTGGCAAATAGCACTACAGGACCTTTAAGTCCAGGTCAATGAATGGTTGGAATACTGCTGGCAAGCTCTTTAAGGAGTAGCCTACCTCAGCCAAATAAATTGGCATTAGGACTGTAAGGGTGGTAGATAAGGCAAAATACCCAATATTACAAAAAGCATGGAAAGAATTTTATGTATACTTAAAACTGAGTCAGTTCCTGAAGGAGAATGATACAACTTTATCCAAAGAATAGTGAAAAACATAAGCAGGGACCTCCTAACATGCATCCTGACCTATGGTGCTTTAAAGAAGGTACCAGTGGAAACATCACGACTTCTTTAGTTTGTCTAGTGTTTTCTAATTGTGGAAAAGTAAATTTGGTCTAACCAAAAAAAGGGAAATGGTCAGACCAGTGCTTCAGGGCATAAGGATGTGTTGATTTCTTCTCAAGCATTTCTGAGAGCATCCAGAGTGCCTCTAACAAATACTTTCCCAGAAGGATGGGTGCCTGATCTGCTTAGGTACTTGTGTTTTGCACATGGTATCTGCCCAACACTTCGGGTGTCTTAAACACCTGCAAATCTAACCCAAAATAGTTAAGTGAAAAGCTTTTTCATAAAGAAACTTTTTAATTTTGCCTTTGGCAAGTCTGATAAATAGGCAAGTAAAACTTAAATTTCCAGGCAGGCTGGGAGGGCAGGCTTCAGCTTGTTATTTGTGCAGGAGGACTCAGAGCATGGGAGGGAATGGAAAACTGCCTTAGCATCAGTGCTGCATGGCCTCTAAGTGACATTTCTGAAGTGCACACTGCCACATTTGTGAGTTATAAGTTGCTCCCAAATTCTAATAAATATCCTTTTCTGTCCAAGGACCCCTCCCTTTATTTAATTGCGGTCCTGTAAGCAAGGGAGCACACAGATCTGCTTCTGGAGGTTTCACTGACCAGCTGCTGTTAAGGAAGTTGTGGAATTTCACTCAGCAGGAAGGAGAAGGCAGAGGGAAAAGATATCACTAGTGACTCACTATTCAGTGATTGGAGGTCCTCATTTATCAGTTGGATTCCAGATCTGATGTTGGGACATGACTGTATAAAAGAACACTCAAGTTATGGCCTGATTAGCATGGGTCTGTAAGCACCCCTTACCTGTGTGCTAGCAAATCCTTCTGCTTATGTGACACACATTGCAACACCTTTGTTAAAATGCCCAAAGTAGCTTTTCTTCAGTTAACTGGTTCTGTTACTGATTTTGTTATCAATTGAAATTAAGTTATGTTTGATTTTAATATTAGTATTAAGAAGTATTTTAGTAGAAATTATTTGTTCATATTTATGGTATTTTGCACCAGCAACCGACTGCTACTTTAAAATTCCCTGTACAGTCCTGTACCAAGGCTGAAGGGAGTGGTCATATTTAGCTAGAAGGAACAGTTAGAACCTAGGTAACAAAACACATGATGATTTGTAAACAGATTTATGACACATACATAGGACTAGAAGAATGCAAGTAGTTGTCAGGGTCTAGGATTAATGGGAACTGAGGGAAGTGACTATAACAACCTTCAAGTACCTACCAAGAAACCGTGAACTTAAGCAGAAGGTAATTCTGACAGGGGGAGATTGCAACCACTGACTCATGGACCACATACTCATATTACACCCCAGACCCATTTATAGACATTTCTAGCTTTCACTGTGCATAATTGGAAATAGGAGGAGAGTATGTTGATGATTTCCAAGAAATTAAATATTTATGCATGAATAATTAACGAATATGCATGAGTAAGTTCTATATAAGATGTATAATTCTGGTGCTTGGGATGCATTGTTGGTGAGACAACTCCCCTGTGCACCTGGCCATTAATAAAGAAGTGTCTGCTTATCTATATCACATTGGTGTTGATAAGTTTTTATCCCGGTTTTCAGTGACAGTTCCCCAAGGTTTCTGCTTGGTATAATGTAAGAACGTCCTATGTCAGAGCCACCTTTAGGCAGGGAAGTGAGAAGTTGTCAAAGGCAGCCTGATGGGGATGACAAAACCGCAGCCTTAGTAGTATGAGGAGGCAGAGATCTCACATTGGTCTCACAGGATATATTTGTCCTGGGGCAGAATCACAGCCATCTCAGGCTCTGTCTCCTCTCAGAGGCCCTGGACAGGTTGTCATCAGAACTACGCACCTCTAATGTGATGAAGTTTATGTCATACTATCAGATGATGTACTACAACATGGGCTCATCAATATCTAGGCCATGAACTTGGCCCTTTATCTAGAAGCATTTCTGGCTGGAAAAATGGAGACTGCTGATCAGACCAGAATAGGACTATATTATTTTTCTAGTTCTTCCTTTGCCAAGGTCACAGTATTGACCTGTGAAAGTCATATTCCTTAAATCCCTCCCTTGCCTACACAATTTGAAAGGCTTACATTAGTGACCAAGTTCCTGTGAATGGGTTTCTTCAGATACTTGATAAAGAAGTTATACAGGAAGCTAGAGGAAAGGAAGAAAGCAATTAACGGGTTGAGTACTACAGTCATTAATAGGAAATCTGCAGAACATTAATTTATTGGCCTCTGAGGGCGATATTCTAGAACAGAAGGGAGCTTTCTGAAATGTAACAACTATCAGAGACCCACCATCTAAAAGGAGATTTCACCACTAGGCATCCTGGCAATTAGCCTGGGTAGATTCAACTTTATGAATAAGGAATTCTTCATTTTACCACCATCACATATGTACAGAGAAAAAATAAGTAGTCTCTACCCTAGGAAATTCCAATACAAGTGAAAACAAGCAAACAAAAATTCAAACCTAAAACCAGGTGACAAGGGTTGTATTCAGACAGTGGGAGAAGTAAATACAAGAAAACAATGAAATAATGTTGCACTGGATTGTAGCTAGAGGCACAACAGATAGCAGTCTGGTTCTGTTCAGTTTTGATAGCACTGTGACTAGGAGTACTTAAAGCACAGTACAAGAATGTAACTTCTACCTAGAGCTGAAGGGTAAAGCAGTATTTGGAAAGAACTGAGTGCTGAAGAAGCACAAGGGATTTTTTGATCTGACCAGAACTGCTGTGTTTATCCTCTACTCAAGGGACAGCGTACACAAGTACAATGGACAAATTTGGCCACCATAACACTGGATTAGGGCCCCGATTCCCACTTGTGATGCTTGTAGATGCCAAAAATCAGTGCCCTATTTCGTGAAGTTGTCTTTGTGACATTCACTGAGAGTTATTTTTCTCCCAGAGAATGCATACAGATATTTTCCACTTACCCACTTTTTCCATTCAACTTGATATCTGTATCACCAGAAGTTGTCTGGCAGCTGATAAATGATATTGATGTATGGCTTGTATTATCCAGGGATGTTGAAAAGATTGCAGCAACAAACACTTTTGAAATGTACACTGTGCTTCTTCCACTGTCTTTGCTGTATAAAGTAAAAATAAAGAAATAACTGAAAAAAGCCTGTTTTTAATTAATGTTCAAGGCTCAATTCATTTCTAAATGGATTCATTTCTGTTCCCTGAAGATGAAGCTGTTTATCTGCATGCTTTTTATTGCTTTGATTATAATGAAAATAGGTTCTAATGTCTGCAGAGAATCAAGTATTCTACCCAGATTTTCAGCTTGAAGTTTTGGAAAATTATGAATTTGGGAAAGTAGATAATTCTCCATTGTAAAGTATTTTGATCCAGCTACCAGAACTGTACCCACAGCAGAGGGAACTGGGACATACTTGATAGGGCAAGAGAGCTGTATTGGGATCTAATCTATTGGTGTCTGTCATGTCAGAGCCCAGAGTGCCCCAATGGGCACAGTGCCCTCTTCCCCACCCCTCCCAAGACCAGCTTCAGTATGGTGAAGCTGTATTATTTTGGATCAAGCTGTTCATAACTTGATTGTGATAAAGAGCTGTGAAAAGCCTCCTGGCCTTGCCCCAGACCTGCTTCTTCTCTATGGACTTGCCTGGCAGCCTGGACTGGTGGCTGTTCCTGGTCACTGCCACTAACCTGCTCTGCATGCCTGTCTTTGGTACTTACCAGTGAGGGCACTTGCCCCTGCCATGCCATAACCCTCAGCTCCTGGGTCTCCTCCCCTTGAAATTGGCCATCCCTGCTGCTCCTGACAGCAGAAGCTCAGAAGTACACATCAGAGACTGTTGTAATTCAGTCAATTTAGCAATATAGGTAATGTCAGTTGTGGAGAAGAGGAGGAGGGATTTCTTTCCTCTGAAACAGCCCTGGACTAGGAAGGTGTGGAGACTGCTCTAAGGATATTGCTATTTGCTTGTTTATTTTCCATCAGCTTTTGAACTGTATCTCTTGGAGGCATAGCACAGGGTTTCTAACAGAGTAGCTGCATTGTGAGGGTTTATTATGCTGGACTGTGATCCACTATACTACAATTTTTCTAAATGTGTCATTAGCTCACAGGCTGTATAAGAACAACATTCAGATAGAGCATCAATCCTTTACTATTTGTAGAGGGGCTTCTTAACCATTGGTTCTTAATCAGTGCTCATGGCTGAGAGGGCAGGGTCTGTCTCCCACCGGCAGACCTGTTGAGAAAGACCAGTCTGTCCTCCTGTGTTATTGCTACTAGCCATTAGAGAGCACTTTTGCCATGAAGGTGACAAAAAAATACTAAAAACTTCATATTCTTATCTTTATATTCTCCATCAAGAAAAATCCCAGGACACATGAGGCTGTACGTACAACATCCAGGTCCTTATGTTCCAGTTCATATTGATGGTTAAAGAATCATTTCCAATTATCAGTTTTGTCCCAGTCCCAGGTATGAAGATGGAAGCACTAGGGAGTTCAACAGCAGTGACATGTATTCTAGAGCATGGGGGAGATAAGGGGTAGAAAAGGAAAAGTTTGTATTTCGGAAGTCAGAGTGAACATAAAAGATTCAAATTTCAGTCAAACACAAATTTCCCCCAGAGAATACTTACCTTGAGATGTTGTATTTGACATTACCAAGCCCAGTTTTCTCATAGCCACTCAAATCAGGGAAATGCTCCTTCTCCATACTCTGCTTCAGGATTCCCATCCCTACCTCCTTGACTACAGGAAAATATTGATCAGTTCAGTTGCCTTTGATACTGCCTGGGAGGTTAGTTATGTGCTTATGGCTTAGGAGATAGTATGGACAGGGTCAGAAAGAAGAGATCCAGAAGTGCTATTCCAGATCTCACTCCTAGTCATGGCAAGAGTTGGACTTAATCAATATCTGAAATCAAATGAACCTTGATACGATGTACAATGCTGTCAAGCAGTTTACTGTATCTGCTATATTGTGCTCTTAAACTTTCTTTTTCTTTATAGCCTGTGATCACGTCATTTTCTTCCACTACTTTTGCTTCCCAGGATGTCTGTAATACCAAGATTCAATGCAATACCACCAACAGATTCTGAAAACATCACACATACCATATTCCAATCCCTTCTTGGTGATCGTCACTTTGAGTCCAGGGTTGGCATTGAGTTGCCCACTGAGCAAACTTAAGAGGAGAATAGAAAATTTTCACCATTTTCCTGTTGGTTTTTGTCTGTTTGTTTGTTTGTTTGTTTTTACAGGATCTGTTAATAAATATTTATAATAATAGTAGAAGTTCATGCTACGTCACATGGTGGCTCTACTTCCTTTTCCCTCCCTGGACTGAGCTGTTTTAACACCAGCTTTCCCTCCAGAATGGATGAAGTGGAAATCCCAGCAACTGTGGAAGAGAGGACTTGTTCTATTCAAGTCTTGTTAGTTCTCAGACTGTTAGAGAACTAGAGCTCCTTGGGGTAGAGGAGAAAGGTCAGCCTATTCACTGTCATAGGGAGTGGAAAAAGCACTTAGGATACATCCTCCTGGACAAACCCTGTTGAAAGGGAAGTGGCACTGAATTTTTTGGCTGTCTTTTTTTCTTCTAATTATTGAAATAAGTAGTTTATTTTTCCCAAAATGTATGGAGCTCCCAGTGCCTCCTGGGGATTCAACAATTATCACTGGGTGAGAGCACTTTGGAAAACCTGATGAGCTCATTTACTTATAGACATAGATACCCCCACTTCAGAAACAACTTACTAAGATCTTAACCACAACTTTAAGATGCCTTTTATGTTCCCTCACAACAGTCAAAAAAGAAAATAATTTTTTTGCTAGCAGTCAATGTTTTTCTATCCCCTAGTCTGCATGTTAATAAATGCATTGTTTTATCCAAAAACTCGTAGCAAACTTCATGATCACATGGATGTTTATTTTTGCTTTTTTTCATTCCCATTAAACCACTTTTTTGCTTCAGAAGAACCATAGTCTATATCTCCATTCACAGATATGGACCAGTGGTCAAAGTATTTTATAAGAACAAAATATTAAAGGCAACATAAATCCCTTTACTCATAACTCACATATTATTGCTAGTCTCCTGTGTCCTTTAACTTGTTTGGGCTCATCAGCAATGAACTCCACTCTTTTATCATGTCCTCTCAGAAAATTTTAAGGGAATACTCATAGCCTTGGACAGTGACTTAACATCCAAGATAAAAAAATAATTTATCATTCACAGAAGGTTGCCTTTCCCCAATATACTTGACTTGTACTGTTTTTATTTAATTAGAGCCAGTCAAAAGTTATGTCTTATCCAAGACAGTCATCTTTATAGCAGAGAAGGATACATCCCACCTATCTTAATGAATTGTCCTTTAGGAAGTGCTTATTTTCCTTCTGTAACTACAGGATTCAATGTCTAACTCTGAGGTGGGTCAAAGTAGGTAAGCTCAACCTATATCAGTTATATGTATATTTTGTTCCAGTGGTGATCAATCACTGTATGATTTTGATCCTTCAATTAATAGGGAACACATATTCTGTGGTCATTCTTCACATAGAGAACTTTCTCCTAATGACACAGATGCCTTCTGAAAGACACCCATATTCTGGATGACACCAACAAGTAACTTGTTATCCAGATGCAATTTACTTTCTGACAGTACTGCTAATATCAGCTTTTCTATAATACTGTGAGCAAGACCTGTCACTCTCTTTGACAGCATGAAAATAAAAAAAAAAAAATAATAGCACACACACTTTCCCTGAAAAAAAACCCAAACCAAGCAGAAACCCACAATGAAGAAAAAGTATGGATGACACCACTGACCAGCTATGCAGTGGATGATCACTTGGCTCTCCCTACCTTCTCATGCATGTCACACAACAGTCCTCAGTGGTGTTACAAGATTTACCATAGGGGTAGTGAATGAGTGAAGCAAATTGTCATCCCAGGGGCTTCTGTAACTGGATTTAAATTGAGATGGAGCTACACTGTATGAACCACATGCTGCACATAGTGTGAAAGTTGGAAGCTGTTGCTGCCAGGAAGGTCTCCCAAGGAGAGTGGGAGAAGCCACCTTAATGGAGAATATTAAAGCCAAACTGGACAGAATCATATAATAGTTTTAGTGTTTTTCCACCCAAAGCTGGGAACAGTCCATCTAGAGTTATCTGTCATCTGAGATTGACAGTATGTATGGCAAACAGGTCACATTATTACAATTTTTCTTATTGCCAGCTACTACACTGCAGTGTAGACAGTTAAAAATACATGAGAGTGTCTTTTCTAGTGTTATGTTTATGTAAAAAAAAAAGTCTTTAGTTACTACAGGACTGTTGGAGAGCTGGTATGAAATAATCTAGAAACAGACAATTGCCTCTCTCCCAATACCTGAAAAATTGTTTTGATGTTGCTTCACCTTTCACTAGCTGTTTGTGATGGTTTGACTCTGGCTAAATGCCAGGTATCCACCAAGTCACTCTATCACTTCCCCCCCCCCCCCCCCCCCCCCCCCCCCCCCCCCC